CCTCCCGCCTCCCGCAGGCCCCGGCGCTGAGGAGGAATTCCTGCGACAGTTGGCCCGCCTGCTGGAGGAGCTGCACTGCCCCGACCGCGCGCTCGGCGACCCGGACTGTGCGACCGCGCTGCGGGAGCCGGGCGCGTGCCTGCGCCTTCTGCGTGAGCCCGGGGCGGGCCGGGGATGCGGAAGCGGGCGAGGCTTCAGCCTCTAGAGTGGGCGGGCTCAGCACTTTGAGGTGGGGCCAGGGTTTTCCCGAAGGGGCGTGATCCGAAGGTAGAAGCTTGCGTGAGGGTCCGAGGTGGGAGGGGTCAGGACCTTGGGGCGGGCTTAGCGCCCTGGGGGGCGGGGTTAGAATTTGGATGGGAGGGTCTTGAAGCTCAAGTGGGTTGGTTTAGGTGGAGCCTGGCAGTTGGTTCTCAGGTGGGCGAGGTTCGAAGTCCGAGGAAAGGACTGGGTCTCGAAGTGGGTGGAAATTATTTTGGAGCTGGAGCCAGGTGGGCGAAACTAGAAAGAGGGAGGTTTTGAAGCTGCTGGAGCTTTTTGACCCAGGCGGGTGGGCTGGTGGCACTCCTAGATTGCACCACTCCCTTTCCCTACTTTCAGGGTTTCTCTGCACTGAGCTCCAGGCTGCCCGCCTCCTCCGCCTGCACCCCCGGCTGGACCCCACCCTCGCCGTGCCGCCACCCGGTGGGGAGGGAGCAGAGGAGGGAGCTGGCATGGTTCAGGAGCTGATCCTTATCCTCCAAGCCCTGGGGCTGCCCAGACCTACGCTGGGGACCCTCGCCAGCAGGCTGCTGCGGGAGTTGCATGCCAAGGTAGAGAGCGAGAGTCCTCTCCGCATCAGAGCCACCACACCTTACTTGCAGGGGAAGAGCCCTTTCTTCAGAAGAGGCTCTGGGAGGAGTGTACCCTAGCCACTGCTGTTTTCTGGAAGTGTGACTGCCATTCTTGATTCTGTGGTCTGGGTCCTCAAGGCTGTGGGAAACTAGGGTCCACGGAGAGTTCTTACAGTTCCTTACAGTCCAGACAGCCTCAGACTCCTTCCATCAGGTCTCAGAGCTGCTGCCTTCCCTGCCCCCAGGATCCCTGCAGCCCCTCCTAAGCTACCCGCTAGACGCACCCAGATGGGTAAGACTTTGTATGACTGTATGTAAATACTGTCCTCATTCAGAGATGGTAGTGAGGGGGACCTGGCATGACTAAGACCTTTCTCCCCAGGAAGCTTTGGAGTCCCTGTGCCAAAGCCTGCAAGGTCAGTACTGGTGCCGCCGTTGCCTCCTCCTCAAGCGTCTGGACCTCACAACATCTGCATTCCACTGGAGTGATCGGGCAGAGGTGTGGGCATAGGACTGTGGCAGGAGCAAGGAGGCCCAATGGTGGGAGCTACCCCTGCAGGGAAGAGGAATGAGGGCCAGGAATATTATCCTCTTGCATGTTCTGAGGCCCAGGACAATGTAGAATCTTGTGAGGTTGGAGCTCTAGAATATCAGGGCCTCCAGGGCATTCTAGATTTCAGGGGACTAGAGCATTCTAAAATTCCCAGCTCTGAGCTGGGAGTGTCTTCAGAGCTATACTTATTTAGAGATGTGGGAAGTGAGACCCTGAGTGAGGAATAAGTGCTTCTAAAATGAGAGATTCCACCTTGGTTGGCTCTTGGGCATTTTCTCCATGTCCCTTCATTACCCCCAGGCTCAAGGGGAGGCCATGAAGGCAGTGCTGATCCCAATTCGAGAGAATCTGACAGCAGAATCAGATGTCTCCATTGCACACATCCTGGCTGCCCGAGCTGATCTGTCTCGTCTTGTCCCAGCCACAAGCAGGGCTTCCCGCCGAGGGACCTGCTGTGCCATCAACAAGGTGGGCACCTGTAGGTGGGGAAGGGCCCCAGCATCTTTGGCCTTCAAACTGGCCTTTCAGCCTCTACCCTGGCCCAGCCTTGTCCTCTCCTGCCTGGGTACCTGGCCTCTAGACTCGTCACCTCTAATCCACCCTCTCTACATGGCAGTTGGAAGGATATTCCTAACTCAGAAATCTGGCCATGTCCCCCCTAGATAAAACCCTCCTATGGCTCCCCAGTGCCTTCAGAACAAAGTCCAGCTGAGCCCCCTGCCCACCTCTCCAGCTTTGGCTTTAACTCCTCCCCCAACATCTCACCCTGTTTATTGTATTAGTTTTCAGCCATTTTAAAAGCAGAAATACCCTTTGTTTAAATGATTATGTATTTGGCCTCATACCTCTCTGTTTAAATAGTCTTATACTTATGTGAATGAATATGAGAGAATAAAGTCTAGCATAGCAAAGAATAAAGTAAAACTTAAGAAAAAAAGTTATTTGCTTGAGGGAAATACAGTAAGTAAATAATATTATAGGTGATGCTTAGTGATGGATATTTAGGAAAAAAACCACTGGTTTGCTGGAAATGTTATACAAAGCCCCAACTATGAAATAGACATAAGTTGAGGTGTCCTCATTACTACTGGTGGGGACTTGGACCTCTGCCATCACTCTCCACTCTCACTTTTATTTCCCTCTTGCTGAGGCCCTGGAAACCCAGTTTGAAAGCTCCAGGCCTGTATCTTCCACCATTCCAGCCCCCCAGACCCTTCCACCCATTGTACCCAAATAGTCAACATCTGCCCTTCCTTTTTTAACCTCATGTTGTTCACTTGGCTTTCTGGCCCCCTTGTCCAAGATACTTTTCTTCTCTGGAACTCAAGTCTAATCAACTCTCAGGTGCTTATGGGCAACGTGCCAGACCGAGGGGGCCGCCCAAATGAGCTGGAGGCTCCCATGCCCAGCTGGCAGAGCAGAAGAGAGGATGGAGGCGGGCGGAAGGCCGGCCGCCAGTGCTGGGGCCGGAAGAAGAAGAAATAAAGAGGCCTGGTGGTTGTGTCCTGTGTGAGATGCTGATGCTGTTGGTAGTCTCTGGGGCGTCAATTTGAGGGTTTTTCTTGGCACCTGGCACCCAGGCTCCACATCTCCTGTTCCTGAGGCCCCAAATGTTCTCCCCCCCATCCACCATTTAACACCAAGGACCATGTTCTCTGGAAAATAAATTTAATTTATGACAGCTGTAGGACCCATCTCTGGAGGGGGGCAGATCAGGGGTGCATGGGTTTGAGGAGGAGAAGGGGGTCTCAGTCCCTTGGGTCTAAGTAAGGCCCCTGGTGTTCTGACCCTCAGAGTCCTTTGCTCTTCAGCATCACATCTTTCCTTTCCTGTAGGCATGGGGAAGGTGACATGTAGGCATTGGATAGACAGATACCAGGTACCCACCACGTGCCAGCCCTGTTCTAGCCCCTGGGGATAAAGCAGTGAAAGGTGCAGCTAATGAAAATCTGACTTTTGACAACAATAATGATAATGAAATGTACAGTTGCCAGATGAGGAAAGGACTTTAGAGGAAAATAAAACAGGAAGTTAGGATCGGGATCATGGGGAGATTGCAACTTTGAGTATGGTGAGGGCTGGCCTCACTGAGGTGACACTTGAGCTAAGTCCCAAAGAGGGAGTCATGTGGGCCTCTGGGGAAGAATGTTCCAGACAGAGGGAACAGCCAGTGCAAAGGCCCTGAGGTAGGAATATTTTTGGCATGTTCTAGGACCATTGAGGCCAGTGTAGCCGAAGCAGGATTCGTAAGAGGGCAAGTGGTGGGAAGTAATAGGGGCAGATTGTGTGGAGTGGGCTATAGTGAGGGCTCTGGCTTGAAATGGAACCATGTGATCAGACTCAGGTGTCACAGGCTCCCCTTTCCACCCCTTCTCTAGCCTTCTCTCCTGTCGACCCCAGCATTTGGGACTCTGTCCACCCTATCCCCTCCCCCTCCTGACGCACGCTGACTGTCAGTATTGCACATTGGTCAGAAGCTTTTGTTTTAGAGGTAGACAGAAAACTTGGGTTTCAGTCCTGCCTCCAACACTTAGGAGCTCTGCCACCTTGGATGAACAGAGCCTCAGTTTCTTCATCTGTAAAATGGAGATTTAAGGAGTTGGTGAGATAATGCTAAAGTTTAAACGTATCCAACATGGAGCTGCATACTTAACTAAGTGCAGGGAAAGGGAGTGTGATTAATAGCTACTCTGATGCAAAAGAAGAAAATAACTTTCCAGGGTAAGAAATGATGGACACTTCAATGCCTCAACAAAGGCAGTGTGAATGCAAAGGAGGCAGTCCCTTTGGGAGTTCTGCTGGAGGCCCAATAACATGACTTGGGACTGGCTCTGTGGGGAGGGAGGGAGAGGAGACCAAGGTGATGTCTAGGTATTCGGCTTGGAGGACTGGATGGGTGGCGATGCCATCGTTGGGAGGGGGACCTGGAAGGAGGAAGACATTGGGTGGTATGGGGGGTGTACAATGTCCAGATGTTTCACTGCCAGGAGCAGTACCTCACCAGACTTTTGTTAAGTGAATGAATGAATGTCCCCTGTGGACATTTTAAAAACCAAATCTGAGAGTCTCTGCCTTTGAATGGTGGAATTTACTCCATGGACATTTATTGTAGCTCCTGATATACTTGGCCTTATTCTTGCCATCTTATTTTATTTTTTCTCCTTAAAATCCTTTTTCTATTCTAGTGGCTATCCCTTTTCCCCCTCAACATACTGAAATTTCTATTTTTTCTAACAACAGTAAAAATTGACCAGAATCTATACTCTCCTACTCAAGTACTTAAGGACTTTGGCACCTTTTTTCCCATGCTTCCCCAAATCTGTTTGGGTTCTCCAGGCAAATGAGTTGGTCTCCCCTGTATCCAGCTGGGGATAGGGGGGAGTCCCTCCTCACCGTCTGTGGTTCCCAGGAAGGGTGTGGGAGCTCTGTCTGGGTCCAAGCATGGTGAAGGTGGCACCTCATCTCAGGTTCCAGGGAGTGTGTGTAGGAAAGACTGTCCTCAGAGCCTGTTTGTGGGGTATGGGCGGGAGGAATGTGGGTCTGTTAAAAAGAACTTCATGGCCTTGGGATTAATCCCTACGCACTGAGCCCCCTTCCCAGGACTGCAACTCCCTGAGTCTTACCACAGCTGGCATGAGGTATTGGTCTGGGTGGGACGGGGGCTCCTGGGGGGCTCATATCGCCTTTGACCCCTGGTCTCTTACACTCCTCCTTCACCCGGTCTCTGCAGTGTTTGTGGCAACACAGCCCACAGTCTAGGGGAAGGCAGTGGTTAGTGGCCAAAGGCCCAGTCCATGCCCTTACTCTTCCAGGCTGCAAGTCCTGAATTCCCTCCCTCCTCACTGATGTCCTACTTACCTCGACAGCGGTAGCCTTGCTTGGTGACACCCCAGAGCTGGGGAGAGAGCAGAATAGGTTACCAAAGTTAGGGGAGGGAGGGATGTGGATGGGGTAGGGGCTGTTCAGAAGTGTGGAAACCATCCAGGTTTTGGGAATTCTCAAGGCTAGAGGCTTGGGATCTGATGATTAAAGGAATTTGGAGGTTCTCTCAAGCTTGGGGAGTCATCTAGGCTATTAGAATTGGGTCAGATTTGGAATTCTGCGGGCAGGGGTTGTGTCTGTTGTGTTTCCTGTTGTGTGCCCCCCCATATACACCCTGAGCCTAGAACTGTACTGGCATACAGGAGGTACTCAATAATATTTAGTGAATGAAAAGCAAATTTGGGAAGGCCAAGGTTTATAAATTAGCCTTGGCTTAGAGACTGAGATCTGTCCACTATCCAGAGTTTGAGGGTACATTTGGAAATTACCCAGGGTTTGAATTATCTAGAGTCTAGAGACTTGGAGATCGGTTGATTGGACATAATCTACCCAGGCTTGTAGATTAAATGGGGTTTTAGGTGTTATGCCTTTCTTGGCAGTTATCCAGGATATAGGTCATCTGGGATTTGGACATAAGCTAGACTTTGGAATCATACGGATGTAGAGAACATCCAATGTTTAGGGTGTAGATGAAGTGTAGGGGTTATTTGAGGCTGAAGGATTTTCTGGATTTCAGGGCTGGCTTCTGAGCCCAGACCGTGAGGAGCTAGGACACTCAGAAGATGGGCGCCACGGGTGATAGCAGGCCAAGTACTCACGAAACCACTGCAGCTGTGACAGAAGGTGGGCTTGCGGAAGGTGACCTCGTGGAAGGTGTGCAAGAAGGCCAGGCCCAGCTTGGAGCAGATGGCACTGGCCCGGAGCAGGTATCCCGTTAGCTCCTCTCTGCTGAAGGAGCCACTCCTGGGGGCAGAGACCTTGCTTCAGCGTGACTGGTCCCCTTCTTCCAGACCCCAGGTCCTAGTAACCCCAGTATCCTCATCTGCAGGGGACCTAGGAGTCAGACCACTTACTTCTGGCGCGGGGGTGGGTGAAGCCCATGGCAGGCGAAGGGGAAGTTGCCTGAGAGTCGCTCAAAGTCCTCAAGAGAGATGGTTCCCCGGCCTTCAGGGTCATAATTCTTGAACACGGACTTCAGAGGAGCATGGGAAGGGGAGAGTAAGGCCAAGTCATGATCCCTTCAGTCTCAGATCCCCTCTCCCAGGTCAGAGCTATACAGATAGCTTCCTTCCTGGCCCTCCAGCAGCCAGGCCACAGCCCCCTCCTTACCTCCACCAGCTGCTCCACATGCCGACCCAGGGTGGCCCTGTCGGGCTTGGGTGTCACACCAGGGGCCCATTCCACCACCAGGGGTGCTTTGAAGGGGGAGGGTGGCTGGGGCAGGGACAGAGGGGCACAGTGAGTCAGTGCATAGGCATGGGTTGGAGGTCAGAGATCAAGGGTCGGGTCTTACCAGATTCTTGGGACAGCGAGGCTCCCGGGCGTAAGAAAGCTCATAGATCTCGTCCTCAGTGTAGAAGAGATCCAAGGAAAGCTGGGGGTGGGCAGGGTGTTACAGACCCTCTGTCTCCATCCTCCTACCTCCAGCTCCCTCCTCTCTGGGGACGCCCAAGGTCTTCTCTCCCACTGAGACCTAGTCACTCTTCACAGCACCTGTCCCCTAGTACAGATGTGCCATTTTCTCACCGAGGCTTTTTTGATCCTACTTAAAAACCCCTCCCCCTTTCCATGCCTTTTTCTGCCTGAACTGTCTCTATCACACTCACCTAAACACCCCTATGATTTACTTATTTGCTTTGTTTTATGGGCTGTCTCTCTTACTAGGATGTCAGCCCCACAAGAACAGTCAGTATTTGTTTTTTTTCTGACTTGGTCACTGCTGTGAAACTAAGTGCCTGTAGCACTGCCTGGCTCACAGTGGGTGCTCAGTAAATATTTGGGCTGATGGCCATTTAGAGTCAGCAAAACACAGGGCCTTTGGCAGCACTCATATTGGGGCAGCACCAGCTTCCAGGGCAGGCCCCACACTTAGAAGGATCCCCACTTCATTTAATGCCCTGCTGTCACCATCTTGAAAGTCAAGAATCTGGAACAAGGAGGCCCACATTTGGGCCCTGCAAATTATGTAGCTGGTTCTGTGTTAGGGTCTGAAAATCAATGTTTCAGTCTTAGACTTGGGGATTTAGACAGGGCCCTCAAAATCCCAGTCTCTTTATTTATAGAATTATATTCTAATTCCTTAGACTATTAGAATATATACAGGGCAGGCAAAAGTAGCTTTACAGTTGCAATACAAATAAAACAACAATAATTAATAGTACAGGAATAAACTTTTAAATACAACTATAAACCTACTTTTGCCCGCCCCCGTATATATGTGTCACCAGAATCATGCACTTCCAGTCTTAGGACATAGTGTGGTGGTTCACATATGCTACACACATGGGTTTTGAAGCTGGCCTGCCTGGGGTTCAGATCCAGGTTTTACTGCTATGGGAGAGTGGGCAAGTGACCTCACCTCTGTAGCCCTGTTTCCAAATCTGTAGAATGGGCATGATAAGGGTCCCCACCTTGGAGTTGTGCAGATGGAATGGAGTGCCTGGCCCAGAGTAAGTGATCAATAATTATTACTAGCTTTTAGCTTAGATTTCTAGATATGTTAAAGCTGGAATTTTGGACTAGTGATGTGAGCTCAGAACCTTGGAGTTCAGAAGTGGGAAAGACCAAAGCAATTCTAGAGCTCAGATCAATGGATACTTGTGTTGCTGGGGCAATGGGAAGAAAATGCACCATTTATGTAGTGCTCACTGTGTTCCAGATACTAAGGTAAGCACTTTATGTGAATTATGTTATTGATTGGTTCTTCTCAACCACTCTCTGAAGTAGATCCTATTAGTCCCATTTTGCAGATAAGGAAACTGAAGCCAAGGGGTTAAGTGACTTGCCCAAGGCCACACAGTTAGGAAAAAAACCCTACAAGCTCTGGTTTCAAAGCCCAAACATCCCAATGCTATTCTCTCCTGGCAACGCAGCCCCTCACCCACACAGGACCTAAACCTCAGTACCCCAGGCTCGGCGTCCAGGAGCCCCACCAGGGCAGGGCAGGGCAGGGCAGGGCAGGGCAGCTCACTGTGAGCAGATGCAGCAGGTCCTCATTGGCACTGCAGGGGGGCTGCTGCTTCTGGAGCAATGCCAGCTCCTGCAGCCTCAGATAGAGGCTGTTGAGCTTGGGAAGGTGCAGGCGGTCATCAGGCAACCTACTGGGTTGTGCCTCATGCAGGGACACCAGGTCCTTGAGATGCACACCCAGCACAGGCAGCCGGAAGCCTGTGCAGCCAGCCCAGGTGCGGCGATAACAGGCATAGTTGTTGTGGGCAGAGAGCAGCTCAGTCAGCTCCAGCAGGGCCTGTGTGGGAGGCCATGTTTAGGGGGGAGCAGCATGTTATTCGGGAAAGCAGGTTCTCCCTTAGCCCCCTGGAGGGGTGTATCCTTGCAGCCCCCTGTGTGCGCTCCACTTCCCCAAGCCCCTCCATGTCCCACATTGGCCTCAGCATCTTCTCAAACTGCTCTTCCTCTTGGGTTGCCAGGCTAGAGAGATTTTTCCAAAACCCATTTCTGATCATGGATGCTGCCATCACTCCCAAAGGTCCCCTAGCTCCCCAGTGCCCTCTGGATAAAGCCCAGACACCTTAATTGAGCTAGCAAGGCTCACCTGATCTCCCCCTGGGCATCTTCTGCCACTTCCTGACCTCAGCCACACACCGGACTCACGAATGACACACTCTCCCAACACTCCCAGGACATCCTATCCCACGCTCCTCCCATGGGTGCCCCAAATGTTGGCATTCTTGGGGTGTCGTTTACTCCCCACCTGGACTGCAAGTTCTCCGCTAGCATCTCTCTCATCTGTGTCTCTCCAGTCCTGCTCAGGACTGGACATGCAGAGAATAAGAGGGGTCAGCATGACAGGTGGATGGATGAGTAAAGAGGGAGGAAGAATGGCAGAGAACAGAGCCTAGGGGTCTGTTGAATTTGGACAAGCAAGGTCTCCAGATGGCTCCAGGGCCCAGGGCAGGGATGGAAAGGGTTGGAGAAAAGGGAGGGTTCAGGACCACTGGAACTTTTGGGAGGGTAGTGGGGCCTCACCTTGGTGCTGTCAGGGCTCAGGTGGGCATGGGAGTCCTTGAGCCTGGAGATGGCACTGTGACACAGGCCCCCAGTGACCGCCATCAGTGTGTTGAAATTCTGCAGCTGGTGGAGTTTCTAGGAAGGGAAGGTGATGCAGAGGTGATGGGGGTCTCATGGAGCACAGGCAAGTTGGGGGTTCAGGTGACTGCATCCCAATTGAGAGTATCCCAGTTGAGGTTGGGGTCTCAGGCATGCTTGGGTGTGGGCCAGTATGGACATCAGATAGGTGAGATGTGTCAGGCTGGAGTGGGCCACAAGCAGGTACTTAAGCATTAGACGGAGGTCAGGCAGGTGATAGACTACTGTGAGGTCAGAAAAAAGTAGAGGGAGTCAGTCGAGTTTGGGGAGCTGGACTAGACAGATGTGTGTCAGACAGGTGTGGGGGATTCGAACAGATGTCAAGGTGTCAGGCACCTGGAGGTCCGACTGCCCAGTCAGACAGATGCGGAGAGACAAGAAGGTCCAGCTCCTGGCAGGTGTTAGAAACCAAGCAGAGGTGAATGGGGCCAGAGTGATATGGAGGGGTCGGATAGCCGTGAGACAGGTGTGGTTAGCTGGACAACAGGGGGAATTGCCTCGGCCTCCCCTTTTCCAAGTTTGAAGGGCGCAGGTCGCTGCGGGGAGAAAGTGGAAGCGGCGAGGAGACCCCCAGGCAGACAGCAGAACCGCAGGTCTAAGGGGCGGGGTAAGGGAAGCGAGCGCGCGGGGAGACGCCGGAGGAAGGGCGTGGTTGCAAGGAAGTACGCAAAGGGGCGTGGCCGCAAGGACGTACGCAAGGGGCGTGGCCACGCTGGGGGAAGGAGGGCTTCCCTTTTCTCCAGAAGGGAAGGAAGGTTTGCAGGGGAGGGGCGTGGCACTTGGGGCGGGGCCAGGTAGAGATCCGAGGTGAGGGGAAGGGCTGCAGTCACTAGCCCGAAGGTGTGGCTGGGGCCTAGGGACTGGGGTGGAGGATGCCGCAGAGGTGGAGGCCAAGGCTTTCATTGCCTTGGACACAGAATATTCGGGTATAGGGCTTGAAAGACGGGGCCAGGAGGGGCGTCGTCAACTGCCAAGTTTAGGACCACGGGATAGGGCCAGGAAGGGTTCAAAGAGGTGATATCAAGGCCAAGGAAGAAGGGCTCTCACAGTCCTGGTAAGAACCACAGGACTGAGGCCTGAGGGGGCGCGGAACGCAGCCAGGACATGGTGACGTCATCACCTGGGATGGACACCTGGAACCGAAGGAGTGCAAACTCCCATAAAGCGAGCAGAACGGCGGGGCGGGCCTCACCTGTGCCACACGGATGAACTTGTCCAGCACCTGTGCGCGCTGTGTGGGTCCCGGACGGCTCAGCACCATGACCTGCACCCAGCGGGACACGCTGTTGCTGAGACCTACGGATCCCTCTAGGGCCGAGGAGGCCCGCACAGAGCCCTGTAAAACGTAGTCTCGCAGGTCCTGGGGCTGGGGATGAGGTGGGCATCAGGGTGGGCTGTGGCGCTCAGGCCCTGCCCCTCACACGCCCATCCCCTAGCCATCATGACCTCCTTATGTCCTAGCCTGGCTGTCATGTCCCTGAGTCACCATGGCCAAAGTCCAGTAAGTAAATGTTTATTTATTTATTTATTTAATCCTCACCTGAGGATATGTTTACCAATTTTAGAGAGAGGAAAGGAGACAGAGAAACATCGATGTGAGAGAGAAACATCAATCAGTTGCTTCCCCTATGGCACCTGGACCAAGAATCCAACTGCAGCCTAGGTATGTGCCCTGAATGGGAATTGAAGCTACAACCTTTTTGTGTACAGAACGATGCCCACATGCGCTCTGCTGTGTGTGTGTGTGTGTGTGTGTGTGTGTGTGCGTGTACACAATCAAGAAATGTTCACATTAAGAAACCAGAGCCCATCAGGGTTATCACTTTGTAAGGTATATAAATGTCTAATCACTATGTTGTACACCTGAAACACAATATTGTATGTCAACTGTCATTGAAAAATAAATTTAACAAAACAAAACAAAAATATAAAACAAACAAAAACCAGATCCTTACCTCCCCTTAAAAGGATGATGGCAATAATTAACACTTACTAGATTGAAACATATGAAATTACCATTGGGTAGGTAAAATACGATAGCATTTACTCTGGACCAGGCACTGACTCTATTTTTAGCATTTACTATGTGCCAGGCATTGTGACAAGCATTTTCAAACGGACATATTAATTCAACTCTCCTAATCATCCAATGAAGTATTATGACCTCCATTTAAAAAACAACACCTGAGTCTCTCCTGTCCACTCTCTCTGAAAAGCAATGGAAAAAAATATCCTTGGGTGAGGGTTAAAACAAAACAAAACTGAGTCCCAGAGAGGGGACTAGTTCAGAGTTATACAGGTAAGAAGGGGCTGATGGGTTTGAACCCCAGGGGCTCTGTGCTCAGCCAGCTTAATTCATTTTCCAGGACCTTCTGGCACCAAGTTTGAGAGTTTGAGATCCCTGCCCAAAGTCCAGGCCAGGGTCCTTTCAGTCCCAGCCAGGCCCCGACCCACCACAAGCCCTCCCTAGCTGGAGGGAGGGGGGTTCTCACCGTGATAGACTGAAAGGACCGGAACTCCAGGTAAGTAAGGTGCTGAGCCAGCTCCCCTGCCTCCAGGTGGTCGAAAAGCAAGGACACTTTGCACTTCTTGCCCAGGCCTGGGCTGCTCATGCAGGGCGGGGGGCCAGGGCCACCAGGGCTCAGGCTGGGGGTAAAGAGGGGCAGGGTATTGGAGGGGCTTAGGGTGGAGGATGTGGGGGTATGGAGGGAGATGGCAGAGTGGAGGTGAGGAGGGAAGGAGGAGCGGCTGACTCACAGGTTAGAGGAGTCTCCCAGGCTCCTCTGGGCTGAGTTGCCTTCCTGCTCCACAGTGGCCCAGAAGCGACCTATAGCCTCTTCTAACTGGGGCTCCTGGTGCACTGTCTCAGGGTGTCGGGTCAGCCAGTACCTGAGGGTGGTTTAGAGATGGTGGGATGAGGCTGGGGGTGGTGGTGAGGGTAGGGAAGTTCTCTAAAAGGGGTCCCTTGGTCTGAGGAATCTCTAGGTGCTGGGCTGGGGGATCTCTAGAAGGTCAGGGTTTAGAGAGGCACCAGGCTTGTGTGGTCTCTGGGATTAGGATTGGGGGCCTCTTCGCACAGGCTGGTGGATCAATAAGACATAGGCAGGGGATCTCTTGGAAGTGGCATTACTAGGTGGCAGGATAGTGAGGAAGTCCCAGGGGGTGAGATTTGAGGGGACCAGGATGAAGGGGGTCTTAGAAGCTAGGCTGGAGTATGTGGGAGCTACGGGTTTGGGGATCAGAGCTAGAGGTGTCAGCACCAACTGTGAGAGGGTCTGTGGGGTCTGGTTAGGGGTCTCTAAGAGGTGAGGATTCTAAGAAGAACTGGGAGGATCTTAGCAACCAAACCACGGTGTCTGAAAGTGGGATTTGGGGGAGCAGGGATGGATGGATCTATCGGGGACTGAGCTGAGGAGTCTCTGGAAGGTGTTTTAGGGGAGTAGCAGGGTGAGGGTCTTTGGTCATGGATATGGAGGTCTTCGCCCAGTCCTACCTGACCAGGTGACAGATCTGCAGCCGCCTCAGGTCCTGCGTGTTCCCTGTGGCCTCCTGGTACTTGAGTTCTGGTTAAGGCTCTGATATCCAGCATCCCAAACCTGCCCTCTCACCGTGTCCCTATCTCTCAGACTCACATATCTGCCCTCTGCCCTCCACCCACTGCTCATGGTGCTGGGAGGATATAAGGTCAGAAGACGGGCAGCAAGGTGGGCAGAAGGCAGCACCCAGCTGTGCATGGCCAGTACCATGTTGAGAATGTGGTCCCCGCGGCGCAGGCTGCCAGCAGAGTCTGGGGGTGGAAAAGGGAGACTGTTCAGAATGCCCTCCAGGCAATGAACTGCTGTCTCCAGAGCTAGTTGGACCACTAGGTTCAAACCCAACCCTGCTTGTGACTCCCTGCATGAGCTTGGGTAAGCAACTTGGCCTCCTTCAGCCTCGGTTTCCGGGTCTGTACTATGCATGAATCAGCACGGTGCCTGGCAGTCATGTTGCAGATGGAAATATCATCAGACTTCCTCCCTCTTCACATCTCAGGAAAGAAACTCAGGTGTCTCTCTTATCTCTTATGTAGTGATTGAGATTCATTCAACACACCCTATGTTATACCCCTCCCCCCAAACTGAGGCCTAGAGAGAGGAGAATGCTTGGCCCAGCCTTAGGATTGGGGAGGCTAGCCAGGGAGGGGGACACTCACCAAAGGACTGAATGCATTTCTCCAGAAGCTCATCTTCACTGCAGCTGCCCTCTTTCAGTATGTCCAGAGCCATGGAAGCCATGACCTTGCTGATTTCCCGGGGGCTGGGGCACGTCTTGTGGCGGCGGGCCTGGCGGAGCCGGCCCCGCCCTCCTGTCTTTCCTGGGCATTCCTGGTGGGACTTCCTGTGGGCATTCCCCCCAGGGAATCATGGGAATCCCTTCCTCCAGGCAGGCCCCCAGAATCCTTCTTGACCTTAAAGCCCCAAAGGCAAAGCCCCAGGTTATTCCTGACCTCCCATGGACTCATGGGAGCCTCCTCCTGCAGGTAAACTCCAAGGGTCACTCCTGTCTCCTTCAGGGAATCAGAAAAAGACTCTCCAGACTATCCTGAACCCCCCACCAAGAGAATCATGAGAGATGACTCTCTAGGGAATCATAAGAAATTTCTTCTCCAGGCATTGCCTCCAAATTCCCCTTGACTATACAGTCCCAAGGCATCATGGGAGATACTTCCTGTTGACAGATTCCTGGGCTTACTTCTTATCTTAAAGGGAATTATGGGCGAAGATCACCAGAACCCTCTTCTCCCCAGGGGCATCATAGGAGATTCTGCCTTCAGGGAGACTCCTCAGAATTCCTCTTGGTTCTCCAATGCTGTGCCTTCTTTCCCCAGCCCTTATGAGAGCAGCAGACCCCTGAGATTCCATCTCCCTCTCCTCCCCTACTCTGATCCCTCCACCAAGCCAGCCCTTCTGTAGGACTTGAGTCTTAGCCCTCACTTGGGTCCCTGGATTTGGAGCCTAGAGAGAAAGTATTGGTGCTCTTCAGAGCTGGGTGGGGTCCCTGAAGCTGAGACAGTTTCAAGGAAAGTTTAAAAATAACCCTCACTCTGCCTTGTGCCTCCCCAAGCCTCGAGGCTGGTGTTGCAGTTGGGGAAAGAGGGTAATGGAGAGACAGGAATAGTGGAGGGAAGAGGGAGCAGAATCCAGGCAGAATAGCCTTGGCTTCCACAAGTCAGGCAAAACGAGGTTGGAGAAATGTATGCTGGCTGTGTGGCTATGTCAGTCACTTAGTTTCTCTGGACCTCAGTTTCCTCATGTGAAAAAATGAGAGTCATCCTTGGATCTTCCCCTTCCCCAGGGACCTGCTATGAACATTCAATGTCTTGCTCTTCAAAAGTGTGAAGCAAGGGACTTGGTTTCCTTAGGCCTGTTAAGTGGCCAGAGATGGGGAACTTGAACTTGAGATGCAGAGAGAGAAAGTGATGGAGCAGACTAAAACCAGGCCTGGGGCATGGAGCCAGAAATAGGGAAATCCTCAGAACAAGGGCACTGCCCTGTCCCTGGCACATCCAAGGTATTGAATGTTGTTGAGTAGCAGCTGGCATTTATTGAGTACCAAATATGTCCTGAGTGGAGGGTTGAACAATTATCTAGATCAGTGACTCTCAAAGCATGGTCTCCAACCTATACCAATAGCATCACTTGGGAACTTGATATCAATACAAGTTCTCAGGCCCCACCACAGTCTCCCAAAGAATCAGAAACCTTGGAGGTGAGCCCAAGCAACCTGTGTTTTGCAATCCCTCCAGGCAGTTCTGATGCATGCTCAAGCTTGAGAACCACTGGTCTGGAGTCTCCCTGAGGACTTAGGCAACCCTCTGAGAAGGGACTCTGATTATTCAATTGACAAAAGAAGAAACTGAGGCACAGATCAGGTAAGTGACTTACCTAAGATCATGCAACCAAAAAAATGAGGCAATTAGGTCCCAAACACTAAACTGCTGGATATTATGTCTGTACATCAGAGACATGCTGGAGGAGACTGGAGGAGCTGCCCAGACTAGGAACCTAACTCTCATCACCCTGTGAGGACAGGAGGGCCAGCTTGCCTAGGTAGTAGAAGCCCATTCCAGAACCTGCTGCTATAGCCAGCTACTGGGCCCTTGCCTGCAGACTGTCTGCCCCCTGTAGTATCTGAAGCAGCCAGGAACGGTTAAGAGGCAGGGGAGTCGCTTTGCCTTGTGTCACATTCCCCTCTCTGGGGCAGGGCCTTGCAGGAGCCTGGAGTTTCCAGTTCAGGGGGCAGCAAGCGACTGTGATGGGGAACCTGGAAGACCCCACGGAGAACAGAGAACCCAGCCTAGGGAGCTAGGATGAGTGTGGGGGTGGGGAGAAGGGGAAACAGAGCAGATCCTGCTCCAGAGAGAGCGAGGACAAGACACAGACACTCATACAAAGAGCCCCAGCCCTGGCTGGCTCTGGACTCCCTGAAGCATCTTTCCACCAGGTGCCCCTTGCTCCTGCCCATGCTCCTGGAGGAGCCCCACACCCTACTAACTGGTTAGTGCCTCCCAACCTTCCCACGCAGCAGGAGGCCCAGAGGCTTTGGGCACTCCCAGTCTCCTCAAGGGTCCTCTCACCTCTTGCTGTCTTTTCTGTTCATGCTTCCTGGGGGTGGGGCTGCAGGGGGTCTTGCAAGAATCTGGCTCAGCTCCTCCCCCTTCACCAATGCTCCAGCTTCTTAGCCTCTTGGGAGCCGGGGCCTCCTCAGTGCTTGGGAAGGAAAGAGGAACTGCCCCTCCCCACCCAGGCCCAGGCCAGGGGGAAGGAAGAGGCTGGGGAGAGACCAAAGGCTCCCCTCCCCCCACATGGGGATCCCTTCAGGCTGAGGTTTCCGGTGCTGCTGGCCCCCACCCCCAATCGCCCAGCGGGCTCTCTCTCTATCTCCCCATCTTTCTGTCTCTAGACCCGTGATTCTCTGTTCTGTCATTTTCATACTTCAATAAAAGCAGGGTTTTTTGTTTTTTTTAAAAGTAGACCTAATATGACACATTTATGTAAAAACACACTCAAGAGAAAAGTCTCTATTTCTATAAGGACATATTCATGTATGCAATGCACAAAGCTTTGAATGGAAAGTTACAGACATAATACTTTGTATATTTCTTCTTAAGTTTCTTTTACTCCTACTTTAATCTTAATAACACCATTTGTACCCCAGAAAACATTTTCACTTTATTACCTTTATTGTAACAAACCTTTATGTATGCCTACTGTGTACCACACACTGTTCTAAGGGTTTTTAAAATATTTACTCATTTAATTCTTGCACAATCTTAAAGAATGTTATCTTATTATGAAAACATTAGAGATGGAGGTAAACCCTCCATTAGGGATGGAAGTAACCCCCCTCCCCATCCCGCTGTCCCTTTTAGGCAGGGGTTACCAGTAGCACATGTCATTGGGTTTCATCTGCACTGTTGGCTGTGTGTTTATTTGGGTACATGAACACATGCTCCTAGAAACACACTTTTCTTTTGAGTATATGTGTGTTTTTCATTTACCCAAATATGTCATGCTTGACATATTTTTTAATTGACATACAAAAAAAAAAAAAGCACAAATCATAAGTGTTTAGGTTGGTGAATTATGACAAAGAGCATATCCATGTGACAATCACACAAATCGAGAAACAGAAGATTCCCACCCCTACCAGCCCCCTGGAGCTCCTTCCCGGGGCTACCTCCCAAGGCTTAACCACCAGTCTGATTTCTAGCAGAGGAGTTTTGAGCTGTATATACATGGAGTAATTTACTGTGTCTGGCTTCTTTCATCTAGCATCACGTCTTTGTAATTCTTCCATGTTTTCCTATTTGGTTGTAATTTATTCCTTATTTTTAGTTATATCATCTTTCATTGTGTGACTGTCCTAGGAATTGTTGATTGATCTTCCTGGGATGGGTGTTTGAACTGCTCTCAGTTTGGGGCTGTTGTGAATACTGCATCTGTCTTTTGATGACCATTAAAGGGTACAATTCAGTAGGGTACATACTCAGGAGTGGAGTAAATGGGTCATAGTAATTAATATGATTGCACCAAACCTAGAGTGTTATTCAATTCAACCAGAGCTCTCTTAGAATTTGCTCCTTTCTTTTTTACACCAAATGAGGTCACCATGGGTGTTTTTTTCACACCAGAACATTTAGAGCCCATTCTCTTTAGTTTTTTCCATGACGTGACACAACATAGTTTCAGACCCTCTTTCTGCATCTCTCCGTCTTCCTGCTCTTTTCCTTTCTCTCTTCCCCGGCCTCAAGCTGTGCTCTCCATGTTGTGCTGTCTGCCTGTCTCTCAGCCCATCTCCTCGGCACCTGCATCTCACAGGTGAGGTAACGTTCCTGAGCTGAGCTTGTAGTGTGAGAGTGCAACATGCACACAAAGACCTCGGCTATGGCTATTATTCCTGCCTCATCAGTTTTTATAATAATGATGGTAGTGATAATAATAGCAACACTTGCATAACATTGACTATGCATTGGTTCTGTTTTATTATTTTCCCCCCCAAAATCCTCACCCGAGGATATTTATTGTTTCCATTGCTTTTCAGAGAGAGTGGAAGGGAGAGAGAGAGAAACATCGGTGTGAAAGAGACACTCATCCATTGGTTGCCTCCCACATGCGCCCCAAGAGGGGCCAGGGATCAAACAGGCAACGGAGGCATGTTCCCTTGGCGGGAATCGAATCAGGGACCCTTCATTTCACCGGCCGCCGCGCTAACCACTGAGCCAAACCGGCTGGGGGTGGTTCTGTTTTAGGTGCTGTGGATAAATGATCTCATTTAATCCTCGCAACAGCCCTGTGAGATAGGTACTATTAATATCCTTCTTACCAGCTGGGGAATCTGAGGCACGGAGAGGCGAAGTGACTTGTCCAAGGTCACACAAGGGAGTGGCAAGGTTGGGACTCGGATTCAGACTATGTGGCTCAGAGGTCTTGCTTTTAATCACGACGTATGCTGCGTTTTAAAGCCCGGAGACCTAGTGCACGTCCCGGCTCTGCTGTATGACATCACGCAGGGGCTTCCGGTGCAGAGCCTCGGCTTGCTCGCTCTGAGTGGGAGCCGGAGGGCCCCTTCCTCGCCGCGGAGGTGGAGACGGGCAGCTACCTCCCAGACACTCCCTCTGCGCTAAACCCTCGCCGCTTCGGAGCCTGTGGGCGGGGCTCCGGCGAGGGGGCGTGTCCGGCGTAGTCCTGGCCCAATGGGAGCCCGGGGGCGGGGATCCCCTGCCAGCTCTGTCCAGCACGCGGGGCCTCCTCGCAGTTCCATCTGCCGCGCTGGCCCTCGGGTGTCCCCGGAGGCCTCCAACCCCAGCCCG